CTGCACCTCTGCTTTCTCTGCTTTTTAAATGTATTAAGATCCTGATGGTGCTTAATACATTTAAAAAGCAAAGGTGCAGCTTCTGGGACTGTGTGCAAGCCGGCAATCAGCTGATTCCTGGCTCACGCCTGTTCCCCCTCGCCCTCCACGCCTCTTCCTTTTAAATGTATGACAAGCCATTGACTATTTAATTAGCTGATTACACAAAATTTAACATCCCCAGTGTGGATGCACTTTGGTGCATGTAACTTACATTGCTCAAGGGGGTGTCTTTTTCAGATAAGTTTAAACCAGCCCTGAAAAAGAAGGTTATGATGGTTAAAAAACTAACCTGGCTTAGAAGGGAAGTGAAAACAGATTTTAAAATGCCTCAGTATAACATACATGGAGAAAAGAGGAAGTTGATAGTAATGAATACAAAATAGAAGCTAGAATTTCTAGAAAATTGATAAGGGAAGCAAAAGGGGACACACGATGTAATCTATTGCCAGCAGAGTTACAGATAAAACTTTTTTAAAGTCTACTAGGAACAAAAGTAATACTGGCAGTGTAAATAGTAGAAATATCAATAATAATGCAGGAAATACATAATTACTCATTAAATATTGCTTTTTTGTACTTGTGGGAGAAAGCTAGGTATATTATTTATATCATACGTTGATGATGAAATTGTCTCCATTGCAACAATAATTAAGGAAAATGTTAAAGAATAACTGCTAAAGTTAGACATTAATGCAGTATGTTCAGATAACTTTTATTCAAGAGCTTTAAAAGGGCAATGATCTTTTTGGATCGTTAATGTTTAGTAAGTCTTGGAATACTGTGGAAGTTTCTAGGGTTACCAACCCTTCAGGATTGTCCAGGAGTCTCTATGAATTAAATGGTTGGAGCAGGAAAAGTGCAAGGGCTGGAGTAGACCCAGGGCTAAAGGGGTGAACCTGGATGCTAGGTGGGTGGGCTCCTGGTGTATAATGATGGATAACCTGATGAACATGAGATCCTGGAGTCACATTGTGGGCAATCCTTGGATGTTTATATGTGGGACTATTGAGCAAGAGTAGGGAGGTTTTATTACCTCTGCATTTGGCATTGGTGCCACTGCTTCTGGTATAGTGTCGTGAGTTCCAATGTCTACACCTGAAGTGAGAAACTCCAAGAGCTCAATTTGATAAGTCGGTAAATATCTACTTGGGGGACAGAAACTCAGTAATAAAGGGCTCTTCAGTCTAGTAAACTAAGGTATAACTTGAGCCAGTTGCTAAAAGTTGAAGCTAGACAAATTTAGAGTAGAAGTAACATGCAGTTTTTTGCAATGGGTTTAATTAACCATTGGAATAATTTGCCAAGGATTGTGCTGGCGTTTCTATCACTGGATATTTTAAAATAAGATTGGATATGTTTCTAAAAGATATGCTCTAGCTGAATCACAGCTCTTGGACATGAAGCAGGATTTAATTTAGGGAAGCCTTGGGGCTTGTGTTATGCAGCAAGTCAGACTGGATGATCACAATGGTCTCTTCTGGCTTCAAAAGCTCTGACTCTCTGAATTGGAACAAAAAATTGTGTGCCCCAGTACTGCAGAGACTGCATGTGAAGCAAATATTTCAATTTCATAGTAATCTGAGCTGCACGATTAGAGCTCCAGATGCTTTGTGTACTGGCAGGGGACAAGTCTACTGATTCCAGTCACTTCAGTGATTGACACCACAGCAAATGAGAAAATTTCAATCTAGTTAATGTTTTGTTTCAAATAGATTTTGAGAATTTGACCAAGATTTGACCCTACATAGAAACCTGGCATGAAGCTTTAAAACATATTTTTACATTAGTTTAAAGAAAGGTAGTTAGGAAATAACATGCACTGCACAGATGGAATTTATTGCACACTCTCCACATTGCTTTGCATGAGTTTAACCTGGTGTAGCTTTAAATATATATAGTGGAGCCAAATTTTTAAATCCAAGCTAAGAATCAGTAGTACATGCACCAGACCTCCAGTGGTTCAAAAGAAGGTGTGAGGGTTTGGGTTTTTTAAAGATGACAATCCCCTGCTCTCACAGACCTTGGAGATTAGAAAAAAGTTGTTAACCATCAGAGGAACAAGATTCTGGAACAAAGTTCCAGGAAGAAAGTTATGGGGGACAAACTAACTAATTTTCAGATGGGGTTTGATACATTTGTGAATGAGATTGCCTGCAATAGCAGGGGATTGGACTTGATGGCCCAGGAAATCACTTCTAGTCCTATGCCCCTAATTAACCTGAAAACTAAACTCATAGAGGAATATAGAGTTTGCTGAAATAAGAGAACTCTTATAATTGTTCTGTGACTGGATTTTGAATCTACTGAAACTGTAGATTGTCTGTTACAGTATAACATAGAGCTGTCCATGCTGAACAAACCAGTGGGGCAATATGTGTGTGGTGTTATGGCTCAGAGTACTAATTTTGGTATGAGAAGAGTTCTGAAGTCAAAGTGCAGTGTATTCTGTTTTATACAGTCTTTATTGCCTAGTTTTTCTGTCTGAATGATTGGTTTGCAATCTATTTGTTATTTTATCAGTAGTTTATTTATTCAGATTGGTGTTTGTTTATGGTGCAAGAGCTCTAACAGGATATTTGCACAAATCTATCAAGTGATTTGTTCATTTTTCTTCCCTCTCGCTGTAAACTTATGAAGGTTTTATTTTTGGAGGGTTATGGAGTCACTGCAAGGTTTCTTTTATTTTGTTCAGGAAGTTTTGTCATGGAGTCAAATGAGTTAACCCTTTCCCCCTAAAGCTGTCAGTTTTGATTGAACAGGGTTTACTTGGACTTGTTTACATTGCTCTGTAGCCTGTTCCAGTTGGGGTATAGATTTGAATGCACACCAGCATTTTTCCATATTGACCTTGCTGGAGTGCACTTAAAGTTCCCTAGTATGAACTACTGTAGTCCTCACTTCAGACAATACTACAGTAACATGCATGTGGGCCAATAAGTGCTGCACACTGGTGTTCATTAACCACTGGTAAGTGCCAGTAAGTGCAAACAGCTGGTGTGATCTAAAGCACCATGTGGACAAGCTCTATGAGCAGTAAGAGTCAAGCTGAAGGCTGCCAGCTTTAGCTGAGATTCCTAGTTAGCATCTGTAATAGAGTACAGCAGATTGAATGGATTTAGTGGCTCTTGGAAATCTTGCTGACTGTGAAAGTGACTGTGTCATTCCACTACTAGGACGCCTTCCCCAGGGTGTCAATACAGTGTTTTTCCTCTACTCTGAGTTATAGATTTTCATTTACAGATTGCAGACTGCAACACTTCAGATTTTTATAGTAATACACAGGGTTCGCCGAACTGTCCAGCATGCGCACATCAACCCGGCTCTTCTGGGTTGCAATCTACTTGCCACAGGCGAGTAGATTGCATTATTTGTCAAGCCTTGGTAATACACATAACCACCACCAAAAAATTACTCAAGCTCCAGTAGCTTCAGGTAGTAGCCGAGTTAGTCTGTACAGGATAAACTTAAAAAAACCCAAATGGTCTTGTAACACTTTATAGACTAACAAAACATGTAGACGGTGGTATGAGCTTTCGTGGGCACAGCCCTCTTTTACAGATGACCGGAGTTTTGAGTTTAGGATGTGCAGACCCAAAATAAATAGGAGAGAAGGGGCGGGGGTGAACGAGGAGCAGAGGGTATGGAAATATGAAAGGGAAAAACAGAAAGGGAGAACTGGGAATCAGTAACCACATGAAGACTGGGTACTTAAAACGAAGCAGATAAGAATCAAAGGCAATAGATAGGAAGGGTACTAACACAGGAATCTACACAAAGAGCTGTTTGTACCTTCATTGAATGTTAGGTTGATAGTGTCCCAACCATCTCTCATCACGATTGAGGCCATTAGCATGAGAATTGAACTTGAGGATGAATTGTAATTCCAACACCTCTCTGTGTGTTTGGCTAGTATAAATGGGTTGGGACAAGACAGTCACTTGAAGATCTTTTAAACAGTAATTAGAAAGATTAAAGTGTTCCCCAGCAGGTTTCTGTATGTTCCCTTTACCTATATCTTATTTGTGTCCACGTGTTTGTCCAATATATATAGCAGTGGGGTATTGCTGGCATTTGATGGCATAGATCAAATTACTGAATGTACAGTCAAATGATCTTTTGATTTGGTAGCTTATATTGTTGGCTCTGGTGATGAATTTGCTTGTATAGATACGTGGACAGAGTTGGCACCGCGGCTGGTTGCAGGGCTGGGTTCCTGGATGCTTATGATATGGTTGTGTGGCATGGTTACCAGAAAGAATTTGTTTCAGGTTGTGGGGTTGTCTGTATGTAGAATAGGCTTTTCTCCCAAGGTCTCTGAGAGGGAGGGATCATTTTCCAAGATGGGTTATAGATTGTGTATAATGCATTAGATGGGGTTGAGTTGTGGACTCTAGGTAATAACAAGTGGAATTCTGTTATTTTCTCTTTTGGGTGAGTCTTGAAGTACAGGTAGTCCCCAAGGTACAAATGCATTGATTTATGACCGTTCGTCCCTACGACCAATCTCCCATTAAGCGTGGCCCCGAGTTATGAATGCGATCTGCACTTACGAACAGTGCGGTCCCATTGAAATGAATGGGGTCCGACATACAAACAGATTGAGTTACGACCAAGTGCTTGGTACGTAACTCGTTCATAAGTTGGGGACTATCTGTAGTTCATGTTTGGGTACTTCTTTGGCTCTGTCAATCTGTTTTTTCACTTCTCCAGGTGGGAATTACAGTTTTAGGAATACTTCTGTGTTTTACCAATATAAAGACAAAAGGTCTATTCTTTTTTAATTCAGTTGGCCTTGGGTTAAGCCCTAAATTCATTGTGCCTCATAGTTAACACAATTATTTGTATTTCACTTGTAGTATATTTGGGGGGAAATCATTAATATATAAATGTATAATTTGAAGTTAATCTTTAATAGAGTTCAGTGGTAAATGACTTAATTTCCCTATTTATTCTCACAGTACTGGCTGGATCCTGCAAAGACCCTTGCAGAACATAAGGAATTGATAAACAGTATGTATTTCACTTGAACCTCATAAACAGTTACTTGAAGATGAAGAGACAGAGGACACCATATGCGCGGAGTAATGGGCCTTCATTTTTGAGGCATGATAGATTCATAGTTTCCTGAGCTGTATCAACATTGCAATTAATAGCCATATCAAACATATATGCATTTGAATGTAATTTCTTTCATTTACTTAAGGTTTAACTTTTCCGTGATTAACCTTTGCTTTAGAATAATTGAAGGACTGGTACATGGCATAGTTCTTGTTTAATTTCTGCCTTTCTAAATGAAATGACTGAATTTTTTCCCTTCCACAAGTGGAAAAAATATTGTCTATTAGGTCCATATTCACAAATTTGCCTGTTCTTTTTATGTGTTGGTATCACTCTTTAGATACCAAAGATAAAGATTCTATAATTTAAAATGTTATTTGAAAAGGTTAATAATATAACTTTACTTGATTGGAAAACTGGAAATGTCTTGTAAAAATATTTATAATTAATATAATAAAATCCTAAATAATACAGCCAGATTTTAAAAAGTGCTCTGCACCAAGCATTACCCATTGAGTTATGGATGCTGGGTACTTTTGGAAATCTGGGATTATATGTGCAGGACTTCAGGTTACAAAAATACATTCATATTTTAAAACAAAATGTTTGATAAGCAGCAATTTTGTTGATCTACCACAGTGTGCATTTAGGATTTGCTTGCAACAGATAATACCTTCATAACTACCTAACACAGGCTTGCCTGCAGAGTTTTAAATTATCATCAGAGACGGAAAAGTCTTATAGCTGTTTTACGGAAAATATAGACATCTGAATTATAGGCTTGGCAGCAAAAGCTGCTTTTCAATTTGTTTTGTAAAAAAGTGTAAATATACTTATTTCCAAGTATCTGAGAGGTCAGTGGGACTATACATCATCATAAACATAATTCCTAGTGTCAAGTATTTGCAGAATTGAGCACAATTCTGCAGTTTGTTGCTACCATGTCTCTTTTTAATATCACACATTGTCCTTCTGAAGTCACTTGGACACTGATTAAAGTCAGTGGATGTATGTGTGGGAATAAATACGATCATAACAGGAATTGTAAGATTGAATTACTGGATCTTCTTGGAGAGCTAAAACTTTAAAAAGTAAATTACAAAATTCAAAATATTTTACTAGGTAAATAATGCAAAATTATACATTCAGTTATTTATCATGCAGAATGTCTCACATTGGACACAGTGTTCTATTCACAAACAAATAGAAAAAAAAGCAATAACCATAAAAAATGTTCCTGTTCCAACAAACTTTTTATATTCTGAAAAGGGAAAAGAGATTCCGTGAGAAGTCCATTTGGAACTTCACTCTGGGGTTATGTGGAGAGGTGGGGATTGGTGTATAAGTCCGTAGAACTGATTAATAGCTCTCCTGTAATCCATGATTCTTTTAATAAATATACAATGCAAAAATGAGTTCTTCTCTCTTCCCCTGAGCTTGTTCCAACAAACTTTTTATATTCTGAAAAGGGAAAAGAGATTCCGTGAGAAGTCCATTTGGAACTTCACTCTGGGGTTATGTGGAGAGGTGGGGATTGGTGTATAAGTCCGTAGAACTGATTAATAGCTCTCCTGTAATCCATGATTCTTTTAATAAATATACAATGCAAAAATGAGTTCTTCTCTCTTCCCCTGAGCT